CTCCCTCCCTCATTTCCTTCTTTCCTTCCTCCCCTCCCTCCCTCCCTCATTTCCTTCTTTCCTTCCTGTCCTCCCTCCCTTCCTCCCTCCCTCCCTTCTTCCATCCCCCTCCCTTTCTTCATTCCTTTCTTACCCTTCCACTCTTTCTTTTCACCTGAAATTGGTTTCTCGCGCAGCGCAGGCTCACTGTGTGCTCCCGTGCTCCCTGCCCCAGCCTCTCAGATGCTGGGCTTGCAGGTGTGCAGCACTACCTGACTTTCTTATAGAGTCACCCTTACAGTTTATTACGTTTCCCTACTCCTGGCCTCTTTCTCTTTTTAATTTTTCAGCTTTATCTTTATTATTCCTTCTTTCAACTAACTTCAAGATTTCTGTGATGGTCTTTTTCTATCATCTTTAAGTGGAAATGTAGGTCACTGGCTGCCTCACAGAGTCTTAGAGTTCAATCTCTGCATCATGTAAATGCCTTAGTCTACTACGCTTTCCCTGAGAGGCCAGACCCTGTGTTGTCTAGTTTTTATGGCAGTTTGACACAGTCAGTCATTTCGGAAGAGGGCGGCTTAATTGAGAGAATGCCTCTATAATATTGGCCCCTAGGCAAGTCTGTGGGTCATTTTCTTGATTGATAATTGATGTGGGAGAGCCCAATTTACGTGGGCAATGCCTTCCCTGGACCAGGTGGTCATGGATGGTATAAAACAGCAAGCTGAGCAAGCTATAGTAAGAAAGACAGTAAGCAGTGTTCTATCACGGTTTCTGCTTCAGTTCCTTCTTCCAGGTTTCTGTCCTGCTCAAGTTCCTGCCCTGACTTCCTTCAGTGATGGACTGTTAGCTGGAAGTATATGATGAAATAAACCATTTCTTCCCCAAGTTGCTTTTGGTCATGATGTTTTATCACAGTAATAAAAATCATAGCTAAGACAGGCCCCATTTCCTGTTCTCCTGGAGTAGGTCAAGGTTAGCTGACCATGCAGTCTTGTTAGTGGTTGGAGATTTATTTTTAGGGAGAAACTAATGATGATGTTGGCAGGTAACTGTGAGTGTATACATGTCCTGGCAGCATGCACCCCTGGGAACACATATCCTGGAACACACATCATGGGCATACATACTTGGATACTTGCATAACACACATCACAAGCATACGTGCATCCTGGGCTCATGTGTTTGTGTGTGCGTGTGCGTGCGCACACACACACATACACACACACACACACACACACACCCCTCAGGTGTAAACATCCTGTGTACATATATCTCAGGCACACATGCTTCCTGGGAAGACTTTCTCCACTCTATACATGCATCCTGGGTACACATATGCCAGGCATATACACACACATCCCAGATACACATACCCTGGGCATATGTACATCCCAAACACACTTGTATCCTCAGCAGAACCCCACCCCCAGCACATGCACCCTGAATATGCACACATCCCAGGCACATACATCCCAAACATGTGAATTCTGGACACACTCCTACTCAGTCTGTTTTGGGGGAGATATCATGAGGATGGCCTGTAGGTATCAACTACAGGTACAGTGAATAGCTTCAGATCCCTGTCTGCTCCATGCCTAGGAGCCTTTGCTAAAGCCCAGGCTCTATCTGGGCACCAGGATAGAACGGGCATTTGAGCCATGCAAGGCTAAATCATGCAGAAGTTCAAGTGCCTTTGAGGGAGGGGACAGGAAGGTGTAGTTGCCCAAGTCATGCTCTTCAAACACACAGCACTCCACCAGCCATATTCCCTTCTTCTTATCAGGGTGACAAGTGCCACCTCTCAGTGGTGGCCCACCTCGCTATACCTAGTTTGTATCCCACAAACTCTGCTCTACCCTCCTTGGTCCTCCAGAATCTCCAGACCTTGTTGTTGGCCTGCTGAGCCTTCATTTTGTTCTGAAACCCAGACCCTCTGTCTTCCAATAGCATCTGTCTTGGGTAGTCCCCTCTTACCAAGAGCCCTCTAATGTCTCAGGTCTGAAGAGTTGAAAAGCAGTGCCAGTTGTTCCTGTGTGCCCTTCAGTGTAGCCTATGAGCCTCCTGGGCCCCTGAGCATATGAGGGATAAGAGATGATACCGAAGTCATCAGACACAACTCAGTCCCCTGCTTCTGTCCATGCAGTACCAGGCAGGGCATCCTTACTAGATGTCGTTATCATGGGTGAAAAACAGGCAACAATTCAGCAATTTCTAATTTTCTAAATGTCCTTTATAAGAGAGTTTACAACCCAGAATCTAGACAGCTCTGAGTCTTGAACACGAGGATGCAGCCTTCTTTGTCTCTTTTAGTGGAGCTCGGCAGCTGCCGGTCTGAACTTGGCTAAGCATGTCTGTCTGAGATATCAGGTGACCTGTGGCCTGTCAGGTTGACAGGTGTTGGCACAACACACTGTCATTAGGGTGGAGTACCCATGGGGGCCCAGCGACAGACAGTGCTGAATCTCCAGATCGGCCACTGAACTTGCCTGCCTATGCCCTAGAAAGGGGGATTTTCCTTCCTACCCTCCACCTTACCTTCTATCTTGCTTCCTCTGTCTTGTATTTTGTATCCATCGGTTCTGTAGGATAACGTGTGTGAGAGACCTATGACTGTCTTAACAGAGCTCTTCAGGGTGCCTTAGGCAAGAGATGATGTTTTCCTCTTAGTTTTGGCAGTAGCAGTCTGAAATGAAAATGACACAGGGTGACGGTGTCCTGAAAGACACTGGAGAGTACGATGTCACCTGGTCCTTGGCCTGTGGTGCTGTCTTCTCCCTGAGTTCACCCATCTTCTGTCCTGGCAATCCAGTCTGTTGTGGTGTGTGTGTGTGTGTGTGTGTGTGTGTGTGTGTGTGTGTGTGTGTGATGCGTGATGCTTGCCCCAAAGCATGATGAGTGCGGAGTTCAGAATTTGTCCTCTCCTTCTACCACGGGATCCAGATTGTCAGGCTCACACAGAGAAATCTTTCAGCTACTGAGCCACGGTGTCAGCCCACAGTCCCCATTTTTATAAGGTCTGTGATCACAGTGGATCAGATTGTCCCCATTACCCTCATTTACCTGGTTGGTGATGCCTATTTTGCAAGCGAGGCCTGACAGTTTTGGTGTCAGGACATGGATATGTTAGGAGGTATGCTCTGCCTCACCATCACTGCCTGCCTTCTTATTTGTATCCCTGTTTGGGTTTACTGCAGTGGGCCTGAGCTCTTCTTGCTATGTGCCCCATTCCTCCTGCATACCCAAATGTCTGACTTCCATTCCTTCCCTGAGCTACCCACTTGGTAGCTCAGCCCCCAGCCAGTGTCCAGAGAAGTTACAGCCCCAGCAGCTTTCTTGATTTTTTTTTAGGTCAGGCTATTATCTCTGGAACCCTTTTACTAACCTGTCCCCAGTCTGGCTACCCTGGGGTCGCGCTCAAACCAGCAGCTAGTTTATAGCCACTAGAGGGCGCCAACATCATTTGGCACCTTCTAGGCACCATGAGGGGCTGAGAAATGAGGGGCTGTATTAGAAGAACAAGGGTTTTCTGTGGAGGGGACCTGAGGGAACTAGAGGCAAAAAAAAAAATATCCTGAATATCCTTCTTGTGGTGCAGAAGAGAAAGGGCTGGCCATTCTGGGGGCCCATGAGAGTCGTGTCTCCAGTGGACTCCCACCTTGTTGACAAGGGAACAGATATACAGCTTAGACAGTAGGGTTCGCTGTGCAGCATCAAAATCTAATCACAGATATCTCTTTCAGAGTCCTGGGTTTGTTACAAATGTGCATTAGGCGTGGGGGCGTCGAGCAGGGTGTCTTAGGCTGCTGTGTAGCTCAACCACAGAATTTGCCCTAGAGGAATCATGAGCCAAGACAGTACCAGAATGTTGGCTTCTCCTAGGCCTCCCCTCTTCCTGCGGAAACAGGACAAGGGAGAGGTCACTAGTTCGAGGAGACTGAGGAGGGTGGTGTCCTGAGCTGGCGCCCTTCCTTTGTTTGTTTACTAAACACAGATTGTTGCTAGGGAATGTTCCAGCCAGCTGTGGTTCTCATAGGCTCCCACATGGAAACTTCCAGAGGGAGTTGGAGGGAGGCCTCCATGGAGTATGCCTCACCCTGCTTTCACATTTAGCCATCTACTGAGACAAGGCTTACGTGAAAGCAGGGGCAGATCCTGAAGATTTTTCTTCTGGTCTCTCTTGGGAATGTCACCTTGGCGTGTGGTAGTTAGTGGTCAGCCAGGTCACTTGAAACAAAATATAGTATAGTAAGGTCACCAGTGTGATTCTTGTGGGTGACAGAAATATCCCTGAGTGGTACAAAATTTGCTGGCACAGTGTTAATGGACAAGCTGTGTACAGGAAAATGTGATAAAAAGATGTAACTTCTTTCATAGGAGAGGTCCATGTCCTAGAGGGACAGGGGACGGTTGTGTCTGAGATCTGAGTTCCCATGGGACCGGAGTCTTTTTATGCCATATTGGTGCTTGTAGGGTGGCCTCCTGGTACTCCACATGAAGGCTGGGTACTGACTTTGTGGCAGGTCCAGGTTCAAGGGAACCCGGCTGTACCCTGAGAACCACTCTGCAACTATAGCCTCCCTATGATCAGCCTGTGCCCCAGGAGCCTTCAACAGTGGGACTTACATGTGCGATCAGAGTATGGATACTGGTGATATAGAGACTATGTGAGGGTATCACAAGGCAAAGTCATGGAGGGCTTCCTCATTTGTTCCTCAGAAGTTCTCTTGGGCTTCCTACCTGCCCACTGGTTTCCGTTAGTACAGGTCTACTCTAGTGTCACAGGGAGAGTCAACACCCAAGCAGTGTGAGACTTGCTGTGCCCTTGGCCCTCACCCATCAACATCCCTGGCTGAGAACATGCTCCCCACTACCCATCATCACGAGAGCAGCACATCAGCCCTCAACTCGGCTTCCAAGGGTGGGATCAACCACTGGCCCATGCTCTTGATCATGGCAGTTATCAACAGCTCTGAGTGACCCTGTACCGAGTCTCGCTGTCCTAAACTATAGCTACAGTTTGTTCTGCAGTAGACCAGGTGGGGAACCACCATTGCCCCAACACTATAGGGGCAGGGTGGCCATAGGAAGGGCTCATATGGAACTTTTCTGTTGTCGCATGTACTGCCTAGCCACTTTTGCCACACGCTCATCCAGCCCTGCACCAGCTTCTACTCTGATCCTCCTGGAATATAGCTTTCTGTCTTTCTCACAGTCACTTCTCTGTGCTCTGAACCTGCTTCTCAGTCCTGTGCCCATACCCAGAATTCTGGGTACTGGACAGCTCATGCTGGAAGATGGGTGAGCAAGGCAGAATCTGCACCAGGGTTTGGGTCACTTTCTGGGCCTCTCACAGGCCTATCTTACCTCACTGATTTTTTTTGACCCTTCATTGGAGCTCTCTTAGGTCTGTGTTGTCTATGCTCACGGCCTTTGTCTTGTCTGTACACAAGGTAGCCTGACTCCTGGCACAAGCTTAGGCTGTGGTACATGGAACCCTGTTGGCTTCCGCTGGAGATACTGGAAAGGCTGGCCCACCAGGAAAGCAGAACAAGAGAGTAGAGCCCTTTTGTATATTATCCTAGGACAGGAGGAGGGATGGAGGAGACAAAGACCTTCTCCTCCTGGTCACGTAGGCTCAGATGAACAAAGCCCAAAGGTGCTTGAGAGCCTGGTGGCCCAGAAAGCGCTAACTCAGGCTGAGGTTGGGGAGTACCCTCCAACAGCTGCCTAGCCTTCATGGTTCTGGTTAACGTGGCTTTCTCCTGTGTTGTGGTCCACAGTAACTCTACTACCAATGCCATCTACATATCCTACATGGGCTGGTATGGCCTGGTCCTATTTATACCCTAGGCCTCCCCCACCTATGAAACACCCACCACCAGGTGAACCTCTTTGAGCCTCTAAAGCTACCATTCCAAGCTCTTCCTTGTACCTGGTCATATAAGGCATTTCAGGGCTTGTGCACACTGTGGCCAGTAGTTGACTGGCTTGGCTGGGTCTCTGAAGTGAGCTGCCCTCAGGTGCTGCAGATAGCAATGACTAGGAGTTCCAGGGTCTTTCCTTAGTCCTGGACACTATCCGCCCCCCCCCCCCAGGAGACACCTTACATCATGTCATCCAGGCCCAGGGCTGTGTGTTCCTTGACAGCCCCAGCTGATGGGTGGGTTGTCCTTGTTTCATCTCATTGTGCACTTCGTCGCAACCACCATTGATCCAGCTGACACCAACGTCCGACTCAAAAAGGACTACTCGGAGCCTGTGCCGACCTTCGACCGGTCCAAACACGCACATGTGATCCAGAACCAGTACTGCAACCTGTGTGAGGTTACTGTGTGAGTAGAGTCTCTGCTGAGCAGTGGGGCAGGGTCGCTTTTAGAAGTCTGGGTGGAGAGTACTGCTGCCCGTGGCCCCATAGTTGGCCAGCTGATCCTGCTGCTATTGGGCACTGGCCCTTTGTGGCCCCCATGGAGGATGCAGCCATGTGCTCACAGCCCCCACCCCTCCAGGTAAAGCCACACTATACCACCCTATCCTACAGACCGAGAGTTCTGCCTTCTGGTTCCCAATGCCCCTCTCCCATGTAATGAAGAGGGCAATCTAAGGCCCAGCTATGTTATTCTTGGGTTCTCTTGTACACAGAGACCCTTCTTTGTGGTGGTGGTGATTGGGGGGCAAATGTGCCACTTCCTTATGGTTTTCTGATAAACCTCACATTCCCAACTGGGAAGGAGGGAGGGCAGTTTCAGCTGCTCCTGGTGGGGTCCAAGGTCTTCAGGACCTGAGGGGGCAGCACACTGACTTGGCTACAGGAAGGTGCTGTAGATACTGGGTGAGGTACCAACAGCCTTCAACTCCTAGATTCTCAGGCTCCCATCTAGCAAACAAGCCTGCTTACAAGCAAGTCCAGGGTCCACCTTCCAAGAACAATGCCCATGGGCACAGGCTCATCTCTCTCCCAAGATGACCTTGTCTTTTCTACAGACTTCCAATCTACTTCTGCCTTCAGATAGAGGACCCACCCTCCATTTTATGGTAGACATTCAGTTCCCGTGGTGCTTTTGGAACCAGCAAACTGTTTCTCCTGATTTCTCTCCCAGGAGCAAGAAAGCCAAGCATTGCAGCTCCTGCAACAAATGTGTCTCTGGCTTCGACCACCACTGCAAATGGCTGAACAACTGTGTGGGCAGCAGAAACTACCGGTGAGGCACTCTCAGGGTCAAAGATGCAACCTGGGGAGGGGATCTGTGGTCTGGGATTCATAGAAATCGGTGACAGGCAACCAAGCAGAGGGGGCCATCAAGATGGGAATAGCATGGGGAACGGGTGATCTTTAGGTCGTGTCTCTGTTTCCAGCTATGGCAGAAGTTAACCAGTGCCCATTTGATCCTGGTTCTGATATGTGATGGTGGGGCGGTTCCTGAACATGTGGAACAAGCTCACACTCACAAAGCCCACAGTTAGAGAGCCCACCATGGACAGCGAGACACAGCCTGGCTGAGCCTTCTAAACTTCCTGATTCAGGCCTATCTACCTTCTCAGTGCCGTGGCCACTAACCCAAGAGCAGTGGTTAGTCTCTTGAGCACAGGAGTGAGCATCTAGGCCACCCTAAGGCATTGCCTTGGTCATGAGTGCAGAATCCAGAGAGCTATTGGGCACCAGGTCAGGACAGTACTGGTCAAACCTCCTAATGCTGTGATTCCTTAATACCTCATGTAGTGGTGACCCCAGCTATAAAATTATTTTTGCTGCTACTTTATAACTATGATTTTCTTACTGTTATAAATCATAATGTGAATATTTTTTGGAGAGAGAGGTTTGCCAAAGGGGTCTCTACCCACAGGTTGAGAACCACTGGTCTGGAGTCCTGAAAATGAGCAGGATATAGTAGCTCCTTACCCCCAACCCCATGCCTTGCTGTGCTCTGACAATACATTGGGCTGTGAGGGCTCTGCCACCCATCCAGGGAGGTGCCTGGGGCCACAGATGTAAGTTTTGCTCCTTCCTGATTGAGTGCGAGCTTGAAAAATGCAGCCACCGTTACTAGGCATTGCAGTGTGGCCTGTTGGTGATGTGTTACCATGGTTCTGGCAGTGACTGGATAAGCCAGGAGACCCTTGACCACAGTCCCTTTGAGTGACTCACACTGACTTACGGAGAGTCATGAGGTTCTTCAACTAAGCAGGCATTTCTGGGAAGACAAATCGGAATAGGTAAGGGTGTGGCCTGGCCATGAGTTGGGAGAGGACAGACGGCACACTTGATTGGGCATTGAGACACACCCTCTGTGTGGTGAAACTGGGGTTGGAGAAGAGCAGAGGGTGATGGGTACCACTCATCCTCACTAGGTACTCCTGATCCTTAACATCTTCACTTTTTGTCCCCTCATTCTCCAGGGCCTAAAAAAACATCGGGGGGCAATGAAATTTAAAAAAAAAACATTTAAAAAATTTACTTTTATTCCATGTATGTGGATGTTTTGCCTGCATGTTATGTCTGGGCTCCTCTTGGCCTCAGAGGCCAAAAGATGGCATCATATCCCCCCTGGAACTAGAGTTACAAACAGTAACCATATAGGTGCTAAGAACTGAACCCTGGTGAGCAGTCAGTCTTCTTAACTAATACAACTGAACCATATATCTAGCTCTGCAATACATTTTGTTATAATTTGGTCCCAGAGCTGAACAGAAGCCCTGAAAGAAAGTCCCATGTCTCACAGCCCTAATAAACAGGAAGCCAGATCAGTCTTTCAGAATGGGGTGCAATAAAGGCTGGAGGAGGTCAGTCCAGGGCATGGGAAGGCAGTGAATAAAGAGGAGGAGGAGGAGGAGGAGGAGGAGGAGGAGGAGGAGGAGGAGGAGGAGGAGGAGGAGGAGGAGAAAGGCTGTGATTCATGAATGGTCGTGATTACAGCATGGCTGCTGCTGGAAGAGGTTCTGTCTGCCTAGGTGATAGCCTGCCATCTTAGGGATTAACTTTTCCCACTGGATGGCAATGATATTCTTGTCCAGATTGCAGGATGGAAGGACGTGGGGACTCAGGCAGAAGGCTGTAGGGAATGTGAGACTCAATCAATACAGTTAGAAGCCAGCATCTGCCTAGGGTATGTCAAAGACATGGCAGAAAGAACATAAAAATATAGAAGACACCCGTAGAGTTTGGGTTCTGTGCTTCTTTGAGGTCACCTGCATGAGACCTGTGGGTTGACCTCATGTGCTTGACGGGGGATTAGTCTGTCCGGACCTCATGCTCGCTCATCTCAGAGCAGGCTCCCACTCCTCTCACACAGGTTCTTCTTCTGCTCTGTGGCCTCAGCTGCAGTTGGCATGCTTGTCGTGATGGTTATCTTGCTGTACATCTTCATCCAGTACTTTAACAACCCTGACGAGCTTCGCACGGACCCTCTGTATAAAGGTACCCTTCTGATGCTCAGGAACGGTTTCCACCTGGTTCCCACGTGCCAGGCTTCCCAGCCTCACCCTCCATGTTCCCTCACTCTCCAGTAGACCTGAGTTCCTCTGAGCTCAACACCAAAAGATTAGAGTAAGGTCTACTTGGACTCCTCTGTCCCTTCAGTCAGTCTTGACACTAGACAGTGGATGCTTTAGCAGGGCTGGCTGGAGAAGGCAGGAGCCTATCTTGTAGGATACAACTACTTGTAGAGAATAGCAGACAGTTGGGGCTATTGTGTTGAGCAACAGACTCTGAAGGGGAAGTTCAGAGATTCTGTGATTAAATAGGCCCAGAAGCACAAGTCCATGGCACAAATGTCTGAAATAAGAGGGACTGGCACTACCCTCCAGTATTGAGGAACTTCTCTCTAACCATCATCTTGAATTCATAAAGTGGAGATCTTAGAGCCAGCCACATGGTGGGCCCATGGGACCCGCAGTAGAGCAGGGGATATTCAGGGCAAGAGCACATCCCTAGGCTGGCTGGCCTCACTCGCCCTCTGTCCCTCTGCTTACCTGACCACAGGTGCTGCAGTTTGGGCAGGTGCGAGATGGACATGTCTCTCTGTCTTCATAGAGATCAGCTCTGAGAACACATGGCTGCTGTTCCTCCCACTGTGGCCTGTGCCTGTGAAGACCCCTGTGGTCCTGTCCATCATGTTGGTGGTGTTCCTGCTAGCCATTGCCAGCTTTGTGCTGCTCGGGCACCTGCTCATCTTCCACTTCTACCTGAGTATGTACCCACTCTAGATTTCCCTTGTCTTGGGAAGCTGCGGGAGGCCAGCGGGGCCACTCTTGCAGGGCTGGCTTTCTGCAGCTTGACTTACCCAAACCTCAAGGATGGTGCAGACCCTGCCTGTGTCTATGAGGGTAGTGCCCGGCAGAGTGCTGACCTCCTCCCACGGAAAGACCACACATATGGCCAAAGGTTCTTACCAGCAACATCACCCTGAACCTAAAGAGCACGCTTCTTAACCTATGAGAATGTTTATTAGCACACGTTCCTGACTTCACTTCAGCATTGTGATTACTTGAAACTTAGCTCCTCCTCCCCTCCCCCTTTTCTCTCCCCTCTTGCCTCCCCCTCCTCTCCTCTTCTCTTCTTCCTCTTCCTCCTAATAGAGTGAAGATCCCTGGTTTAAATTTTGTTGGTGCAATTTATGTTTTTTAGGTTATTGTTAGAAATGACCTGGTTCATTTCTATTTACTTGTGTTTAGAAGTATTTGTAGAGTGGGATAGACCCAAGTCTCAAACCTACATCAGCTGAAACTATGTATTTCCACAGAATACCGTGTACTAATTTATCAGTAACAAGATTGGGAGAGCCTCTCATATTCCCTGTGAAGAATCCCCTCAGAATTATGCGTCTTTTGGGTTACCTTTAAAACTCTCCACTGCTTTTGTAAATAGGAATTTATAAAAACAATATTTTCTAAATTTATCTAGAAAATTTTTTCTCATGTCTAAATGTTTTCAGATTTATCAGTGATACCGCCTTTTCTAGCACCTGACCTCACGGAGAACTCATTTCTCTCTTTATCTAGTTGTCTCCCCATCTCTCAGAGTTAGGTCCAGCAGCTGGTGTCATACCAATGTTTCCTATGGAGCCTACACCTATAGGCCTGAAGATTATTGGGGCCCATACTGCCAAAGAACACAAATTTGGTGTTGGTCACTTTCCCTTTACACTTCATAGTAAGAACTTTGTACCTACCATGTGAGGGGCAATTGTGTCTACCAATGTAGGAGGCAATTCTGCTTCTGTGGGTCAAGTTTGGAGGCACCCACATTCTGGTAGGGGACCACAATGGTAGGGTGAGGCCCATTGTGTGAGCAGAACTTTACTGAGACATACCCTTGTGGACATTAGACTGCAATGAACTCGCAGGGAAGTCTGAGTGTGCTGAGTCCAGAATAGTGAGCACAACACACTTCTTCCCACAGAAGGCCACTAGAAGGGATTGTGTCCCCTGGAATATGCCAGGCACCATGGGCTGCTTTGTCCCACCTCTGCCATGAATGAGACACTCAGCAGCAAGGACTCAGGGGCCGTCCGCTGTTCCTGTCTGTATTCTCCTATAAAAACTCTTTAAGATTAGGCTCTGGGACCGCACAGTCTAGTCCACACATGAAACCACCAAAGCTAAAGCTTTAGAGCTTAAAACCTGCACCCGCCTTACTCCTTCATTCAACACACTCAGGAAGCCAGACAGTCTGGGTGCATTCCCTAGTGTTCATTTAGAACAGCCTAATGAATCTTAATGAATCTCAAAGACTCACCCAGAACTTGTGGGGGCCCTAGATGTGGCATGCTTCACTGGTGTCAGGAGTGGTATGTCCTTGGCATTCATAGAACCATAGAAGAGTCACATGCTTCCCAAGGAGTGCGGGTTCAAAGATTTAGCCAGGACGGTTCCCAGCTCTCTCATCTTCTACCACCATTTCTCCCCTCTCAAGAAAGCTTCATGAACAAAGATACATTATAGCAACTTTTGTCAGGACCAGAAAGAGTGAGGAGGCCTCCCATGACCCAAGTGCAATGATGTCCAGTAACTGTCCACAGTATGGTTGCCTGACTCTGTGAATGTAGACCCCAGACACATGAACCAAGGACTCAATGCAGGCAAAACTCACAGATAAAGAGAAAAGCATAGTAGAGAGAGTCCTGACTGAATCTCTAAGGCTCACACTGAGCCTACATATACTGAGAGGAAGGCCCAGTGCACAGACAGGAACTTCTGCTATGGCATCCCTGACTTGACTCCCAGGACAACTTAGTCTGTGAGGTGACTTCTCTAACCTGGAATTCCTTCACTTTTTTATTTTGAGACATCCTTGGCTGGCCTGGAACTCACTATGTAGACCTGGCTGGCCTAGAACTCACAGAGAACCGCCTGCCTCTCCAGAATGCTGGGAGTAAAGGTGTGCACCACCACATCTGCCTTCTTCTGCTTCTTGGCAGCACTTCCAGCTTCAAGGTGTAAGAGACTGACCACCTTCTAGCTTTTGTCCCCAAGATGCTTCAGCTGGAAATGACTTGTTCACAGAACTCAGGCTCTCAGGAAAGGTTGTTATACTGGTAATACCAGCATGGGGAAGGTGGCAGGGGCCAAGAGAATACTACTCAGCCCTCTTGCTGTGAAGTGATGCTCAAGTACCCGAAGTGAGCTGATTTTCTCTCCCAGAACACTGACTAGGACTTCATCTGGTTGTTCAGCTCTCCTCCCTAGAAATGTAACCAGGGTATGTGATGTCCAAGGTAATCGCATTGATCAGCTGTTCTGAAGCCAAAGGCCTGTGAATTGACTGGAAATGTGTGTGGTGTGGCCACAGATTTAGACTTCTGTTCTTGTAGCTGCTGATATGGGTTGACTTTTTTTTTTAAACCTGTTGTGAGTTGCAGTATGCCTGCACTGTTTCTTATTTGGTATGTAGGGGATTCATAGAGGGTCACGGTGCTGTACTTCCTGAAGAATGGAATGCTTCCTTTTATAACCTTTGAGAGAAGGTGTTGCTGAGAGAGGCCTGTCTTTCCTGTTCGGGGAAGGGACATACACAGAATTGGTTCCTAAGTCATGCTTCAAAAGTGTCCAAGTGTACTGTGTTTGATACTAATCTGTTGTACAACACCCTGGAGAGCAAGTTAGGAGCAGCCAGTCACTGTGAGCTGTTGTCACCACTGTTACTTATGACACCCAGGATGGGCTCAGTGGGCTGAAAGCAGGGCAAGGTAGAAGCCGTGGCGGCCAGAGCTGGAGTTATTCTAAGGATAGGGCTGTTCACTATGAAGAGATTGGAAAGTGTTCCTCTGAGAGGGAAGAACTGGAGTCAGGCTGAACATCTTGAGTCTGGGGCATTGAGGCATTAAATATTTCCAGGACGTGTTGGCGATTGTTATATGTTAGTAAGACTGCCACAAACCGTAGCACTCACTCATCACTGTAGGGCCAAGGCAAACTCAGATCAGCTGGGTCCTCTGTTCGGGACATTCACTTTGACTTTGTGGTCACAGCGCCACCATAAGATTTTTCTTCTGAGCTCCCTGCAGGGCGACTGGAGGGTGTAGCTCCTCTAAATCTCTAGCCTGCCACCTTGCTCTGATTCTTCTTGGGAGGACTGCACTGTCTCACAACAGTGACCGGCTTCATAGAAGGAGCAGGTCATCAGAGTATCCTGGCCATGCACAAGACTGTGAGAGCTCAGTCTATAGATCTAGCCCACACTCAAGGACTGGATCTCAAGGCACGAGCCCCATGTGGACTGCCCTCTACCTGGCACCACTTTGAATACAGGCTAGAGATTCAAGGGCCCAATACCCAGCAAGTGTGGGAAGCTGAAGTGCCTGCAATGGAGGGATGAGGGTGTGTGTGGTCACGAGGGGTGGGGGGAATAATGTGTTGAACCCAGTAGAGAAAGGGCAGGATTCATACAACGCCAGAGTGAGCTGCCGGTGCCTGTTCACCCTAAAGGATCTAAAAGGACATTACTCAGCTTTGGATATGCTCATCAGGTGGTCTGAGTGGCATTTACATAACCCTTAGAAAGGACTATTTTAATTAGATGTAGCAAGTGCAGGTCCACAGGCTTACTCTGACATAGGTGCTAGAAGCTGGCTCGCAACTGACTGGGCCTAGGGAGATTCATCACTCAAACAATGCAAAGTCAAGTTCTGGAGGACCTCTGGGGTTGTGGCAGCCTACCCCATCTGCTACTTGAGCTACAGATAGGGTCATCGTGTGGCCCTGTAGCTCCTCAGAAATTCTTGCAAACCATCTGCTCGTGTGTGTTGGTTTTGAAAATTCAGACCCCTCCCTAGAAGCACAGGCCAGGAATAGGCATTTACTGCTCTTTTCTCAAAATCACATCTGGTCTTCTTGCAGTAACCCATATTACTTCTGCTAGGTATGGTTGTCAAAGTCTCAGCCTGGGCTGGGGTTGCTTGCCATGCCTCAGATTTGTTGGTACCCCTGTGTTCTCTGAGGCAGAGCATCTAGGGCGAGGTGACTGCATGGGGTGGGGGGAAGCAGGCATAGGGTGGCTCAGGGTAGGGGGAAGCAGGCATAGGGTGGGTAGGCAGCTGACAAGGTCAGCTCAGGGATCCAGTATTCCTACCAATAGGACTTCAATCACCCTGAAGATGAAGGACTTCCAGGACCCTTGAACAGACTAGTCTTTCCTGAGCCTGGCCTCCGGAAGCCATCCCAGGAAGGTCTGGAGTCGTCTATCATGATGCAAAGTAGGGCACCCATGAGAAATGCCACAGCTCAGCTCCTCTGGGACACCCTACCTCTGAGCTTAATTAGAGGTTTGCCTTGGGCAGCAGAAAACAGTCAGGTCCTGTCATTCATAAAATGTGTAGATCATAGCTTGTCTGGTCTGACTTACCTGGTCCTCCTCCTGGTCTCGGGACATGCAAAGCAGGGCAGTCACTCCCTGACAAGGCTGATTGACATTGTGCGTGGCTGCTGGATAACCCTGTCCTTTCCTGCCCCTTCCCTTTGCAGTTGCCAAGAACCTGAGCACATTTGACTACATGATGCAGCCCCGATTCCAGAGGAATTTACATTCAGCAGAAAAGAAAGAGATACCTCTACGGAAAAAGGGGAACCTTTCCCAGGTATGCTTGTTCTTCTGTGTTGTGCTCATGGAAGGGCTGAGGTCAATATGGGGGTGTACCCTATACAAGGATCCCAGCTTTGTCCCGGGTTTCACTGTTGATACTGTCCTAAGACTCACTGGAGGTGTGTGGTATGTAGAGTGTCTGTGTACATATATAAGTATATATAAGAGTGCTTAGTGTATAATGTATATGTACATGTGTGCTCATGTATGGTATCTGTTTCTGTGTGGTATGTAATGTATGTAGCGCATGGTCTAAGTGTAGTTTGGTTGTGTCAATTATGATGTGTATGTCTGTGCATGGTATATAATGTATATATGTTGTGTGTGTAATATGTGATGTATGTCTATGGTGTGTGATGTTTTTGTGTAGTGTGTTATGTAGCATATAGTACATTATGGGGTATGTCTATATGTTGTATGTGATGCACCTGTGTGGTATGTGGTATGTCTGTGTCTATGAGTTGTGTTTGTGTGACATGTGATGTGTATAGTATGTGGTATGCCTGTGTGATGTGTGGGGTGTATGGTATGTGAGGTGTCGGTAAATTTGTATGGTGTATCTATATGGTGTATAGTGTGTGAGGTGTTGGTATGTTTGTGTGATGTGTCTAGTGCCTGGTGTGTGGTGTGATTGTGTGAAATGTGTTATGTGTTTGTCTGTGTGGTGTGTGGTGCAGTATCTGTGACTTAGTCACACTCCAGGTCAGGCTTCATTCTCAGCAGTAGTGACCCAACACAAATCAGACTTAATTTGTGTGTGTGTGTGTCTTCTTCTGATTTTGTTTTTGTTTAGTTTTTAAGAGAGAGAAAGAACATGAAGTTGAGGGGAATCTGAGAGGAGCTGGGAAAGAAGAAAATTTTGATCAAAACATATTGTATGAAATTCTCAATAAAAAAAGAGGAGGAGGAGGAAGAAGAAAGTAGTTAGTTGCGCATAAACTCAGCTCACAGAGGAGGGAGTAACCTATTGGGCGACACCAGGATTAACTTGATATTCAAGCCAGAAAATATCAGCACAAGAGAAGCTTATAGTGAGCCAAAGATATTCTGTAAATACAAGCAAAACTCATAAAACATTATCAGACCAAAACATATGGTAAAGGAATACATAGGATTGGCTGTACACCGAGTGTATATATGTACAAGTGATGCGTATTCTAGAAATGCATTTGTTTAACACCTGTAAATTAATTATTGTTATAAAATACAATTAGAATAAGGGTCAAGAACCTTTATAATTATATCAGCCCATACAGAAGATACATATAGACTCTGTTAAAACCCTATTTCCAGTTTTTAAAAAAATACCCACAGTCTGAGAATAAAATAAAAATCATGAAGAGCTTGTTAGTCTGTCACTTTGATGGTGAAAAAGTGACCTCCCCCTTTCCACAGCTGGGAACAGACAAGAACACCCATTCTCACCACCTTGGACATCAGTGCAATGCTGGCTTAAGGCACACAGTGTTTATAGACAACATAATCCTTAAAAATGTGTAAACTAGCACCTTAACAGCTTTTTGACAGCCTTACACCAAATGAATGGAATAAAGACTCAGAATTATACCTTTCGTTTCTGATCAGCTTGTGCTGAACAAAGAAAGCAAGGATAGCTCGGGTGAAGTGTGGCTTCCCTGGATGGCCATGAGCGGAATATGCCCAAGACTGAAAAGCTTTATGAGTTTTTCTTTATCTCTGCAGAAAATTCAAAGCCAACTATAGGTCTAAGTTTGAGAACCAAATTATAAATTTCTAAAGAAAGCAAAGTCTTTGTGATGCTGAACTCAGCAATTACTGCTAAAATAACAGTGGCATCAACGTCTAGATATACATGATACAATGGTAATTTATGAAATATAAAATTTTATTTTTGAGAATTGTCATTAAGAAAATGAAATGCAAGCCATTGTCAAGGTGTTTCTAAACAACACACATACCAAATGTACTAAAAGCTTTCTAATGAAATGGCCCTAAATCTGATCAAACCCTTTGCAAGGAGAACAGAGATGACCAGGAAGCCCATGGAAACTGGTAGACATCGTTTGATAAGACTATGATCAAATACCCACACACCCACCAGCAAACCTCCACCAAAATATCTTACGGTACCCGTGTTAGAGATCAGGCAGAGGGACCAGAAAGCTCTTCCCATGGAAAAAAAGGTGAAAAGGAAATATAGACTCACCAGTGGTGAAAACAGTAAACGGTCCCCCCAGAAAACTGCCAGCTGTCAGGCCCTCTCCCACCCAGCCATGGAGAAAAGAAAACATGTGCAATAAAAATGGTTCTAAGGAAGAAGGGACCTTCCCAGGTGCTGTCGCTCGAAACTGAAGATAGAGTCTAGTTGTGAGCTGCAGGCAGGCAGCCTACCATAAGTAGCTTCTTGTCTCACTCGTACATTTTCATTTGCTCTGCAGGAAAAGAATAGCAACTTGAACTGGTCTCAGTGCTCACCGAGGTGAGTGGTAGCATCATGGTGGTACATTATTATTATTATTATTTTAATTTCATTTTACATTACATCCACCGTTCTCCCATCCCTCCTCCTGTTCCCCACACCTTCTCCCCAGCCCAAACCCCATCTACTCCTCCCAGTGGGTAATGGCTCCCATGGGAAGTCAACAAAGTCTGACACATTAAGTTGGGGCAGGACCAAGCGCCTCCCCATCTGCGTTAAAATTAAACGGCTTTAACTTCTTATCTCAAAGGGCTTTAGAAAGTAGTTTATTTGTGATGTGATGTTTGAAATGATGGAATGGCACAGTATAAAGTAGAGTTGTTCCCCTTAACTTACTGACATTCCTAGCTGTTTATGTAGCTGTACACACTGAGAAACCTGCTTAGCAGTTGTATTAATGCATAAAATAAGGCTGCTCCTTCTCTTTGTGTGCGTGTGCATATGTGTGTGGAGGCCAAAGGTTGACGTCTTCCTTGGCTGCTTTCCATTTTATTTTTTGAGACCCAGCATCTCTATTTCTATCTTTGTCTCTCTACTTCCCCCAGCCCCGCCCCATCAGATGCTTTCTGACTTAGATAGATTGGCAGGCCGGTGAGCTCCAGGAATCTTTCACCTCTGCTCCCCCAGTGCTTGGATGACAGTCATGTGTTTCCACATCCAGCTTTTTACATGGGTGCTAGGAATGAAATCCATACCCTCCTGTTTGCAGGGCAATAGCTTTGCCCGCTCAGCTGTTTCCCCAGCTCTGTTTGTTTATTTTCTACATCCATGTATAGCCACGTGGGCAGATGTGTCAGTCTCTAACAGTGTTTGGCTTAGATTTTAAGATCCTGAGAGTCAGAGCTTGTCATTGAATTCAATCTTGAGTCAAGGATATATTGAGTAAGTATGCTCCCTAGTGACAGTTCTGCCTGAAAGCAAAGCACACGCCACAGAACCACAAGGCAGAAATCGACCCTAACACAGAGGGTAGACACACACTTCATAGTGTTCTCTGTTCTCATGAATTTTTTTTTGTTTAGCCAAGAAAAACTGTAACAGAGGCATGGTTACTCACACTAACTGACTGTTCCACCTTGGTTTTCTGTTGTGCATTCCTTATTACACCGTAAGCACAAATGCATGTGTACTTTGAGGAGTTACCATACAAAGTCCTTTCCAGCTTTATGGATGGTGCACTTTTACTCTCTCATTTCTCTCACCTCATTTCTAGGATCTATTAGTACAAATTAAAGGAAAAATAATTAGACATTCACTGAAGCCTCCTCAGATAGACACACAGATGCATACCCCTAACCAGTCCTCAGTCATGGTCCCCCAGCCAGGACACTGGAGGTTACCATGTCTACTGAGCAGGCTACAAGCAGCTACTCCGGGTCCTCACAGGTTAGTGGCCTGCACAGAGTAGCCTTAGATCTGCATCGTGGCTTCTTTAGCTGCTTCCCTGCAGCCCAAACCTCAGGGGACTCTGTCATGAGCACAGGAGGCTATTCTTCTGAGCAGAAAGCCATGACCTCTCCATGAAAGGTACCAAGAGATGGCAGGCCAGAGGTAGGGACAAAATAGGAGACGAAAGAGAGAATCTCTACTCATGTCTAGTGGAGAGACGATACATTCTCCGTGATTCTCTGAGAATCATCAGTAGATCCTCTCATTCTCTTAAGGAAAAGCTGGTGTTTGTCCGGAGAGGAATAGTGAAGACCCCAGAGGCCCATCTCTACAGGGTGAGGAATAGGCTGGCCCTGTGGTCCCTCTCTGCCCTCTGTGCCCAGGAACTTATTATACCTTACAGAAGTTTTCCATGCACCTCCTTCCTCCCTGCAGTTCAGGGTCAGAGGCACTGCAGGGCCTAAAAACATAGCTGAAGGTTCACACTTCATTCATGCAAATACTGAGAATTGCTTTAGTTTTTCTTTTTTATCATCTGTTGGTCTGTGAGAATAGCTTCTTTTGAAAAAAAACCCACAAAATCATTTTCTCTTAAAGAACTAATATTTTGGTCTAAATTGGCTCTCTTAGAAACTTGATTGGCAGTACTATTGTGTAACCAAATAATTGTGAATGTTGGTTTGAAATGTTGTCTAATCTTTTAAGCAGACCTCCAGGTGGTTTCTCTGTCTATCTGTCTCTCTTTCTTTCTCTCTCTCTCCTCTTCCTGAAAGGCTGGCAAAACCTAACTGTGGCCATTGACTATAGCTCCACTCCAAACCCAAAACCACTTCATTTTGTTTCTTATTACCAAATAGATGCACATTATAGAAAATTATTGGAAATTGCAGAATTTTATAAATAAAACTAGTTCCCTTACCTAAGTCTCCTGCCTATCAAGAGCCACTGCTGGCATTTCCAAGGTTTTTCTTGGAGTTCTTCTTCATCAGATATCCAACCCTTTGTTAAACCAGACTGAAATCATACATCTCACTCTTGGAGCCCACTTTTTAAACTCCACGCATATTTTCAACATTGTTAAAAGAAGAACCATGATTTTGTGAATACAAAAAACTTCATCTTTGGGTATACACATGCCTCATATCTGAAATACTATTTTTACTTTATAGTATTTTTTCCATAATAATGATGAATTAGCCTTGTATTGGAAAGGTCAGTGTGTGTGCATGTGACAGAACACAGGGCATAGTCACAACTCTCAAAATGTAATGGTCAGTATAAGACTACCTGTCCTTTAGTGCCACATCCAGCATGGCTACAGGGACTTGCACCTAACTGGGGTGGTGAAGTAATGAAGAAAAGACAAAGAAATGACAAGCCCAGGCAGGTACCCAGACAGAAAACTGGCATCAGATGGTCTGGGCTCTCTTCTGGAGAAACCACAGCACCCCAGAAGCTCAGAATGTTTATTACACAGAGCTGAACAAAAAGGTAGAGTTATTGCATACAACTAGATAAGGAGACATGGTTATTACATTCTTATAATAAAGGAACAGAGTTTATGATATACAGTTGGATCAAGGGGACAGGTTTAGCTAATCTCAGTAGGCACAGCCTCTATAAGGGACAGTCTTCAGACTATAAACATCCAGGAGGGAGAAAGTTATAGTGGGCATATTTGCACCTGGCCTCCTGAGGAACATTTGGCATGCCTCTGAACCTCACCCCAGGGAGAAGACTTTGCTGTTCCTCTATGGGTCTGAGGCTCTGGGGTTGACATGGTTGGCTTGTGTCAACATACACATTCACCCAGGACTTGACACAGTCAGGGCTTTCTCGAGTTCCTATACTTTCAGTTACAGGAACTGTTTCTATGACAACCTAGCCATGGATGCAGATAATAAGCACACTGGTCTGCTTTGGCCCATCACAGCCCAAGTTCCAGAGAGCATGGCTATTGTCTTAGCTCTGTGTGGCGCTGCACCAATCACAAGCACAAGTGCCCATGAGATACAGGTATCAATTATAGCTATTGGTTAGTGGAGTATTCTGGCCCCAATTTCACAGAGAACTTTACCTAATGGTTGGTAGACCATTCATTTACTGGGACTATTTCTCTGGCATCTGTTGTGAAATATTCCATGAAATAGATGGAATAATAGAGTTAGGAAGCAAACAGAGACAGAGACTGAGAGTTCACATAGGAAGAATGTTCTTGTTTGACTTTGAAGGAATTCCGGGCAGCTGCCTCCTTCCAGGTGGTTTGAATTTGTTTTCCTGTGCTGTAGAAGACATTAGCAGACTCATTGTCTCCACACACAGCTGGGCTCTCCGGTGTCTCAGAGGCAGCATTGCCTCTTATCGGTCAGCACTACCCAGAGGGGTTGAGGAAGAGTCTGGCTAAGAGCATTCAGGAAGCTTCTGGAATGCTTTCACCCTCAACACTGTCAGTAGCAAGGTTAGCCCTTTCCTACTCTTATGTTGAGTCTCTGTGTTCTTCTGCCTTCCTATGCTTTAAGGTGATTACTTCAGAGCTCCCTGGATACTCCAGATCATCTCTTAATAAGCTTTCTGGATCTGCTACAAGAAACTTCCATGAGTTGGAGATGCTGTGGGTGCATGGTGTGAGCTTTTATTCATTTGCAAAGACTGATGATTACTTGGGAAAACAGAGGTCTGACCCAGGGCCCAAGTCATATGAGGATGCACCTTTCTGTGTCGAAGTGAGGGTCCGTCACACTAGAATCCAGTTATAGTTTCCCATTGGGCAGTACACATGGCCCTAAAATACTGGTATGAGATTCTTCAGCCTCAATTACGGGGTCTCCCTCACGCTGATGTGCCTGCCTTTCCTCTTCAGGCTGGAGTCCCGGAAGTTCCTGCTGTCTACTCTTTCACCGAAGTCAAACATGGGTTTCATAGCTCCAGCTCCAAAGACTCCTCCACAGTAAAGGTGAATATAGCGTGCTGATTGGGCCTCAGGACACAGCCCGGTGTCACCTGCAGGTCCACAGTCTCTCCAACCTGAGGAGAGCGATGCACTGAGCTCCCATTTGACTGATACTGTTTTACAGTTGTGGAATGGTACTCAGGCAGGAACAACAGTGAGAAACAAGGAGAATGGAGGGACAGAAATTCTCAGCCATAGGTGTCCGGAGGACAGGAGGAAGTGAGGGTAGAAAATGCAGTAAAGAAATGAAACTTCTGAAACTGAAGCAACATTGCACATGTTAGTGAGGCACACTGAAGGCTGCAGTTGTAACATACACCTAAGAGCTAGTTCCAGGACAGGCTCCAAAGCTACAGAAAAACTCTCAAAAAAGCAAGATTTACAGTTAAGTGACAAAAACAGATGGTTAAGGGGCCAGTAGGGTTCTCTGGAAATAATGGCACAATTTAGAAGTTTTTGGTTTTGATATGGTACAAAATTAATACTACAAATCATGCTTCTAATTTGGAGTTTTGGTCTTTTCCTGGGCTAGCGATAAGAATGAGCTTCTCTCAGGATGGCAGTACCAAGCCGTCAGCCCAAGATCATGAGGAAACGCCTCTACTTTGTGGTACATGATGCTGCTGAGCCGTGACCTTCAGTAGAGTATGTGTTTTATGTGTATTTTGGACTGAAGATATCTTCCATTTATGATGATGAGTTCCTCAGAATACAAACCCCATTGTCATTCAAGAATAATCTATATAGAAAAATATTAGCAATAATAGAATCTAGGTGTTAAGTACATGTGTATTTTCACTTTCAAATTTTCTAGATGTTTGAAAATTTTCACAATAAAATGTTGAGGTATGACTTGGTAAAAATAAACATGGCAAAAGTTCATGTGTTGTGTATAATGTGGTATATAGTGTGTCATGTAGGTGGGGTTATTTTGTGTGACATGTGGTGTGTGGTACCTATAGTATTTCTGTATCTGTAGAGTATATGGAGAGCTGTGTATCTGTGTGGTATTTGAGATGCCTGTGATGTGTCTGTGTGGTGTGTCTAGAGTTTTATAAGTGATGTTTGCTGTGTGATATATGTTCTATGTATGTCTAGGTGGTATGTGATGCAACTATGTGGTGTGTGATATGTCTATGATGTGTCTTGTGGAGTGCTGTATGTGATGTGTGTTATGTGATATGTATGCTGCTTGTGTCTATGTGTTGTATGATGTATCTGTGAGATGTGTGAAATGTCTATGATAATCTGTATGATGTGTCTTGTGGTGCATGATGTATAATATGTGGTATTTGTGGTGTTTCTGTATGATGTGTGATATATATGGCAAATCTGTGTGCTGTATGATGTGTCTGTGGTGTTTGTTGTGTGTGGTATGTCCATGTGCTGTGTGCTGTGTATGGTATGTGGTAGTGTCTGTGTGTCTATGTGGTGTGTAGCGTGTGTGTATGTTTACTAAATCTCTGTCCCTTCCTTGTGGAACAGGTCAAGAGAGTTGACTGGGTCAGGCCCATTTGTATTTGTGTTCATCCCTGAGGGTCACCACTAGTGTGGGTTCCTGGTGGTGGTGGCTGAAGAGGTATGAATTTTGAAAGATTTTGAAAGCTTCATTTTATGGGAAGAAATTCACTTTGCTTCAATCACTGATGGCTTCTGACAGAATGCTTCCTAATTTACAGGGGGTTCCTCAGCTGCCTGGAAAGGCCCTGAGGCTGTAGCAAAGTCCTCAGTGACTCTTTTCTGGACTTTTACTGATAGACATCGTAGAAATTCTGCTGTGACATGCCTGACCTACTCCAGACTCAGCCACTAGAAGTGACTTTGGGTTGTGCCACACCAAAGCAGGCAGCTCTGGGACTTCCTTACTGCTTTCATGATTGTGAGACCCCATGTTCCTGGTTGATACTTGTCCTGGAGTTATCTCAAGCACTCCATTTCAGGAGTGTCTGGTTTTATGGATGAGTTACTCAGAGACCCTAACTTTAACCCACTATGATGCCTGGTATGATGTCAAAAACCAGCAGCTCACATCTAAATCCACAAGTCCTCATCGGCTCCAGACACCCTAGAAAGGACACTGCAGTTTGGTCATCAGTGCCTTTAATGGGTAACTCCACCCTCAAAACTGGGCTTCAGGCATGCCCCATCATGGATCTGAGTTACATATGCATTTTCATAGACTATGGAACAGCTTCATGGTACACGGTGCAAGGTACAGCATTATAGAGAGCCTTCATGGGGTCTCCTGGGACTCACTGGGAAGGGCATTCTGTAGGGAACAGAAGGTTACAACAGTGTGTGATGAGTCTTCCTAACTCTGAACTATGCCTGAGCAGAGCTATTGTCTACAAGCATCCCCCTTTTCATCTGGTTGGGACCCCGCTGAAGCTGTCACTTAAGGCCACAGTTCCAGCCAGTGCTGCTGACTGCGGCAATCAATTGCTGAGATACACCAGTACAAGTACATACGCATCAACAAATTTATTGCTTCTTTGGAGTCTCTCAGGCCATTGGGAGAGGTGAAGTCCACCTAGGAGGGACCTGCCTGGCCTGCTAGGTTTACTCTGAAGCAGTTCTTGAACCCAGAGCAAAGCTAGTCCAAAGAGGGATTGGATGTGACTAACCAAATTCTAAAACATACCACCAGTCTGCTGGAATCTGACATGATCACTCCCAGTCCCCAGCCGCTCTTGGGATCATCCACTGTGGGGACTCTGTACCTTCCATTAATGAAGCCTGAGCCCGAGTCAGACCTAGGGAAAATCAGCGTAGTGTTCTTCCCCAGACTCAGGTGTACCCGAGGCAGCAATGAGCCCATTTGCTGAAGATCCTGTCTTTGAAGTGCCTTTCAGAGCCCATCCCCAGACAACTTTCCTAGAGTCTAACAGGGAATTCTGAGGAAGCAAGGGACAGAAGGTGGATAAGGTTGACTGTAGCTCACTTAGTTGGCACTTACAACCAGATAAGCTAGCCCAGATATCCCTCTGCATATCCTGAGCAGATAGCTTATCCAGGATGGAAGAGGAGCAGATTGAACTCCAGCCTAATCTGGGATGCACATTGCCTGTGTGGTCACTATCTGCTTCTTGCTTATCTATTATCAGGTATAATTCTGATAAATTATCTGAAAGAAGCTCTCATTGCTGCCACTGTGGTGATTAGTGCTAGATGGTGGGACCTAGTCACTAGGAAAAAGTCTTGATTAATGTCTTTCTGCTCAAATACCTGAAAGAACAACAGCAATATCTTTTCTGCTATTACTTAACAATTTCGTAATTGTGATAAAAACCCTTTCCCTATGGTCCATTTGAGTATAGGCTGTGAAGGGGTCTGAGTCCCTCTGCACCAGATTTCTGTCTGGTTCTGCTCATTTCAGTGGGTAGTCCTCACATTGCCTGTTCTACCAAAGCACCACATATGTACCATATGTGCAGTTCTGTATCCGCCCTTTCTCTCCCTGCTCTAGTCCTCCTTACTCCGTGCCTCCTACATCCCGATAAACAGGAACCTCCTCCAGGAAGGTCCCTGATCTCCAGTGGAGACACTGTTACAGAATTACAAGTAGGAGTGGATCCTTAGCAAGTATGGTCACCCCTGCCACAGAAAACGAGCGAGAGTCCAGACCTAGGCGTAGAGTGACAGTGGGGGCAAGGGTGAAGGATGAGGGATGGGCTGAATGTGCAGCGGAGCACAGGCTTGGGGCGGAGGCCCACTTTCTCCACGCAGAGCTGTGAGCAGGTCTCACATAGCTAGCGGTCAGTCTCTTGCTCCACATGGGAAACACGGGGACTCCACCGTTAGGACACAAGACAAGGGAGACATCATGGAGAAAAGATGTAGAAACAGCAATACTGGAGATTAGGGACATTCCCGGAAGAGATTCTTGTTTTATTTCATCCATCACTACTTTTTTTTTCTGTTTCTTTCCCTCACTCTCTTACTCCTAAGACTCCTGTGACGTTTGCATCGATGTCCTTGCTGTCTTCTGGGTTCCTGGGATCCCTCTGCTCTGTCTTCTTCATTCTTGTTTCTGTGCAGTCTTTAGGTTGGATAATTCCCATTGTTTTCAGACTGATTCTTTCTTCTGCTCAGGTCTGTTGAACTTCCTGAAAGAACTCTTTGTCTCAGTAGTAGTACCTTCTAGTTCCTGAGTTTGTTTCCTTTCTGTAATTCCTCTCTGCAAGTATTCTCATTTGTCCGTGGCTGGCTTACACAGTTTCCTTAGTTCTTGGCTGTCGTTTCCTCTAGCTCATTTAGCATATTTAAGACAGCTGATTTAATGGGTTTGCCCATTAATTAAAAAGTCTGAGCTTCCTCATAGATGGTTTCTGGTGTTTTTTTTTCCTCTCAGGAATGGATTGTTTTGTCTCTTTGTGTACTTTGTAATTTTAGGTTAGAAAAAGATAATTCCAAGCATTAAAATGTGGTAAGTCTCAAAATCAAATTGAGAATTTCAGGACAGGTATTATGAATTTTCAATTGTTGAGAGCTAAAACCATCCCTTTGTGACTTTTCCTAATAAAATTTGAAAATGTATACTACTAATATTGAAGCTTTTCTGTCATTATCAGTCAGAGACAAAGATTTCATCAGAAGCTTAACAGCATTTAAAGTAACAGGCCATTTTAAATCTTGAAGTTATTTTAAATCTTCTAGTAGATGCTAGGGGAACCCAGTGCTGCCAAGAGGGACAAGAGAAGGCGGGCATCTGCGCTGTTCTTTCAGGGTACCACCTAATGAACTAAAATATGTCATGTAAACTTTTGGAGAACAGTACCTCTCTCATGTCAGCCAGGTGCCTCCTGGATGAGGTATATTTCCCATATCTACAGAAAAGTACATGAGGTGGTGGCTGGCTCGTGCACCCTGTTCACTTAGGAAAAAGCAGCAGCCTCCGCTCTCCTTCACGTTTGCCTATTGCTTCAAGAACTTCGTGGGTTCCAGGATTTTAATGTTGATCCAGCTGTTGCTCATAGTTTTAGGGCTGTTGTGATGTAACTTTTCCTGGGGAAACATGAACAAACATCTATTTATTACAGATGGGTTTCCTATAAAAGACCAAAGAAACTCTATCAGGAAAGACACCAGTCTATCTTTGTGAACCATTACGGTTTACTGTAACTACTTACAGAAATATGAGTGAGAGGCTATTTACAGGGGCATCACTATAAAGTCCACTCCAGCATGGATGATGACTCACAAAAGCTGTATCCTTAGAAATCTCTGCAGGACTTACAGGCAATTCAGATTTGTTTACTGCTTTTATAACCTTTCTGGAGGGACCTTGTGAATCTTGTGACTTTCTGAGTTTCTAAAGTTTCATGAATTTCTTGAGCTTCCTAAACTTTCTAAGTTCAGTTAGCTTCTTGAAACTTCCTTTCAGGAGGAAATGTTTCAGTTCAAAGGAAATAGCCACACTACACAACAATAGTCTCTTTCTAGGGCTTTAGGAATCAAGATGCTACATGACTTCTGGGTTAGATTCAGGCACTCAAACATGCAATCCTAGTAGAGACATCGATAGTCTTTTCTCATAAATCCCCACCCAAGTCTTCCACCATCTCACCCACTCTGCTGTGTTTAACTTTCATTTCAAATCAATAGTACATTTTCTCCTTATTATGATTTTTAAAATTATCCTTATATTGCTATGGTAATATGGTGTTTCATCTTTGTTCCTTGGGTCCTTCCCGTTCCTTCTCTGTTTTTCTTGCACTTCCTTGTTTGCACTAACATTCCTGCATTGCTGTTTTCACTTGAGGTGGGCCTCCCATTGCTGCCCCAAGGCTCAGTAAATTCTGTGGTAGGACTGGTTGTAGGGCTTCTCATCTCGCGATCCTCTGCCCTCCCCTACATCAGCATCCCCTGCTAGAGGACAGG